GAATTGGATCAATGCATATGCAGCTAACCCCCAATGATTATTATTAATTATGATTTTAATAACAGAATAATACTACTTCTTTTTAGAAAAGCAATATCGAATGATACCCCACTTAGAAAAAAGGAGAAGAACATACTAAAATTGTTTTATTTATTTATTTATTTATTTAGATATTTATATGTATTGAAGTTAATTTGCACGAAAATATTTATGCCATATATTGCTCATTAGGAAATTAAATGATATTTTTTTTTTAACTAACCTATATGAGACTAAAGGCTCATGTGCAAGCAAATTAGACCTTTTTTTTTATAAAAAAAGTGTAATTTTAAGTAGTATTAACTTATGGGACCAAAAGTAGTCTAGATGTTTTTCTTCATTAATATCCTTTCGGATCCCTTTTTACCATTCAGCAATTGAGTAACTTCAAAACCCAAAACCTATATCCTCCCATATCCACCAACTACATATATCTGCTCTTTAACCAACACGCATTTCCTACTAAAAAATATCTAAATAATCACAGATAAATCTGTGGTTTATGACATTGTTTTTTTCGTTAGGCACAAGAAGTTGTGATTCATTGCACATGCAATCACCAGCAAACTCTCATAAAGAATATTAAGTTGTTATTTACTCTCTTCATTCAACAAAAATAGTTCTAATTTAATTTTTTTTACTTTAAAATAAAAAATTATGTAAAAAATTAACATAACAAATAACTATCAATTGAAATTTTTTTTCTTATATATAATTTTTGTTTAGCAATTCCACCTGATAAAAAAATTTATAAATAAAAAAATGTTTATCATTTTAGAAGGAAGTACTACGGTTAAGGGGGGGATAATAGTAGATAATTAATTTAGGATAAATTTTTTATTAAAAAGCAACTATTATTTATTATAAAATAAAACATTTTAAATTTAGCTGTCAAGAATAATTTTATCTATTCTAATTAATAAAAGTATTTTTTTTTTAACAATGTACAATTTGAGGGGTGGGAGAAGGGAGTATTTAAAACGGTGATAGAACTCGAAACTTCGACCGTCTCACTAAAGCACTTTAAAGTTTGGGATCCAC